TGCTGCTGCTGCTGCTGCTGCTGCTGCTGCTGCTGCTGCCACATGGCTGCTCCCAGGGGAGGCAGTAGCCCTTTACCTGGTAGGTGGCGTTGAAGCCGTGGCCTGCGCTGCGGGCGCGCGCATGGTAGGCCACAGTGAGGCGGCCCTGCGCAGCCTCAAGGCTGACCGGCCGGTGGTTACTGCGGTAGGACAGTGTCTGCAGCAGGCGGTCCCCGCGCTCGCCCAGCCCTTCGTACACCTGCACATAGTCGTCATAGCCCAGCCGCAGCTCTAGCTGCAACAGCACGCGCCGCGGGTCCTGTGTGTCCACCAGCCACGTGCAGTGCAGGTCTGAGGGCCCCCGGGCGGCACTGAACAGGTCTGGGGAAGCAAAGGAGCCGTAGAAGCTGCCCAGCCGCCGGCCGCACGCCAGATCCGGGCAGCCAGCCTCGTCTGAGCCGTCCCCGCAGTCCTGCGAGCCGTCGCAGCGCCGCTCCACCGGCAGGCAGCGCGTGGAGCGCGCCCCGCTGCAGGGGAAGGTGCCACCGGGGCACAGGCTGCCTGGCGGCTCTGAGGCCGGGGCTGAGCAGTTGCCCTCGTCGGAGCCATCCCCACATTCATCCACAGTGTTACACTGCCACGGGCCCGGCAAGCACTTGCCATTGTCACAGCGGAACTCGTCAGCCCGGCAGGCCGCCTGACCCAGCTTCCCTGCAAGACAGATGGATGTGGACGGTCAGGGGAAAGGGAGGGCAGCTGGCCAGGGGAAAACAGGGCCTCCCTCCTGTGTGGGGGCGGCTGGGCCCCTCCTCACCAGGCCTCTGCCACTCACAACTATAGGTGAAAGGCGTGGTCAGGGAGAGGCGGTGACCCCTCCCCCCAAAGAGGGTGGGCCTGGGGTAATCCCCGCCCCTGCTCTAGACAAGTTTAAGTGGGTCAGTGACCCACCACTCTATCCTCAGATGGGCTGGGTGAGTGAGGGGAGGCGCTACCCTGCCCCGTTCCCTGCTGTGAGCGTCACCTCGGATGTAGGAGAGCCGGAAGCCTTGTGCCTGGCCAGAGCTGGAGGCGTCCGAATGGAAGAAGATCCAGACGTGGTCGCGGGCTGAGATGAAGGCGGGCGGGATGGCGGAGCCGCAGAGCCGGAAAGCCTCCTGGCGGGGTGGGGCTGCAGGGCCCAGCATGAGCCAGTCCAGGGAGCATTGGTGGGACTCCTCCACATCAAAGTTGCGGAAGCTGCGGGGCAGAGAAGGAAGGAGTAGGTGGGCAGGGCCCACAGGGACAAGGAAGAGCAGGAGGTGACTGCAGCTGGGGCTCAGGCAGAGGAAGCCTGCCCCACGCCCCCCCACCCCCACCCCTGACCTTGGTATCCCAATGTGCCTGGCTCTCCTTCTGCCAGCCATTCTGAGGGACCTCTTGCCATCACCAGGGGTCCAAAGGCGTTTAGAATCATGGCAGCTGGACAGTGTAATGTCTGTCACATCTCACGCCACTGCAGCTCTCTGAAGAACCTCTCAGCACACATAGCACCCCACCCCAAAGCCAACATGGAAGGGTGTCATGGGCCCCATTCCCTGAAGGGGGCAGGCCCAAGGATCCACACACTCATGCATGCACCCACAGGACAGGGCTGTGCCCGCGTGGCTGACCTAAGCTGCAGGAGGGGGACCTTTTGTCACTAGGGAACACTAGCCCTGGACCCCCACTGGCCAGCTGCTGTGGGGTGGACTGGCCACAGAAAATTTTCAAAGGCTCCACCCAGTTGCCTCACTTGCTCCCTTTGAGAGATGGGAAATGAGGGCATAGAGCTAGGATAGAGACTGCTTGTGCCATCACACCCCTGTGCTTTGGGCTATGGAGTAACTGGGAGGCCTTCTGGGTTTGGGCTTTGAGAAGATCTAAGGCAGACAGAATCCACAGTAGTGCCCCGAATCAGATGGTCTAACCTTACCCTCAGACCTACTCTGCTGACCTCAGTCCACTGCCCTCTGCCTGCCCTTGGGCTCCCTTCTGCCTGAGCACCCAGCCTTCTGCCTGGCTCCTTCCCTCCGGAGACCACACTGGGCCCCTCCAGGAGCGTGTTCTGGTCTTGTTGCCAGCCTGGCCACCTGAGAGGCAACTGGACCATGCCCACCAGTCTCCAAGACTCCCTGCCTTAGAAAAGCTCAGGAGACTGACAGGCCCCACACACCATGAGAGAGACTCAGGCAGCCAGGCCCAGCTCACACATGCTGTCATACAACATACATCACGCCTCTGCTTACCACTGGCTCTCTAAAGTTGCAGAACCATGGGATCACACGCAGAAAGAACCACACCTGCACATGTTCACACATGCCTCTTCCCACTGCTTGAGCATGCTCTCACACAGGCCCGCACCGATCCCCTCAGATGATCCAGGGCCCCTGACCTGATGGTGATCATGTCCCCGCGGTCACCCTGGATGTACCAGCTGCAGTTGGTGCCCGGCGGGTAGTTGAGGGGCCAAGCCGGGCTATAGATGACTCCGCGCCGTTCTGTGTGCTGCTCCAGCTTCCCACTGCAGGCAGCTGTCGGGAGGTGAGGCTGAGAAATGCCGGCCCCATAGGCTGACAGTAAGCCAGGGCGGGGCCGCTTGAGTGCCCAGCTTCAGCACAGCCACCCCCACCCCAAGATCTGCTCAGGATGGCCATGACATAGGCCAAGAACTCCAGCCTACCCAGGAATGGGGGTTGTGGGGGCAGGCCAAGGAAGATGCCCACCGCCCCACTGGACCATGAAGCCCACCCCATGCTGCCCCCACCAGAGCTTGGTGTTCTACCTTTCCCCCTCCTCCCCAGCCCCTGCCACAGCCACCCTCCTCCTTCCCACAGGCCCCCACACCGGGCCTGACATGTGGTAGGTGTTCAATGCATATGGGTAAGTAAGGGGACTGGCTGATCTGGGGGCTAAAGCCCTTGCTGACAGGGCCTGCTGTAATGTTGTCGGGTGCCGGAGAGTCTAAAACTAGCCTACCAACAGCTGCACCAGGGCTTCTGTGAAGGCAGCAGGAACACTGCACTATGTGACGCCATCGCAGTCCCAACATCAGGCTACCCCCACCTGCCTGGCCCACATGCCCAGGACGAGGCGGCCAACCTGCTGCCCCGCCACCCGCCACCCCCACTCCAGCTACAAGTTTTTCATACAAGAAGCAAGAGTCAGTGCTTGCCACTCAGGGGGCAAAGACTAAGCAGCTCCCGTTGAGTCCCAGGAACACCCAAACCCAACCCAACCCAACCCACTGCCATGGGGTCCATTCTAACTCAGAGCGAGCCCACAGCACAGAGCAGAACTGCCTGCAGGCTCGCCAGACTGTGCCTCTCCCCTCAGCTTTCTCCCACCCCGGGAGGGGTCAGCCCCCAGCCCTGTGGGCCTCCAACACTGAGTGCTGGCGGAACATCCTGAAGGCATGAGCTTATTAGCCCAGAAGGCTGGCTCCCTCCTCTCCCACAGGTGCTTGGCAGGAGGGTCACGGGAGGGAGGAGCTCACTCACTCAAATTGCTGACCTGGAGGGAGCCCAACACATGATCACAACACCCAAACCAAGGCAGGGGCACAACCGCCTCGTTGAGTCTCCTCAGCATGTGGTAAACTGAGTACACAAGCTGCGTGAGAGTTGCTCCTCAGCCCCGGCCTGGGTCAGAGCATGCCCACGGGTTCTGGAGCAGAGCTGCTGCAGGGGGCTTTCTGGAAGGCAACCTTTCCAGTAGATTCGCTCAGGTCTGTCTTCCACGCTGGCAGCCTTCAAGTGGGTGGCTGGCCGTGATTTGCTTGCACCTGGGACAGTGCCCACCACAGCTGATGGGGTACAGGCATAGACCGTTGCCCTTGTTGGAGGTTGGGGGAGAGCAGGCTCTCTCACCTCCACAAGGCATCATTGCTGCCGGTCACTCCTCTGGCCTCTTCTCACCAGACTACAGGTTTCTGCCTCAGAAATCTCCAAGCAAGCCAGGAACGGGTGACTAGATGACTCCCGCTAAACACCCCCCACAGTGGCTCCAGCGATGCCACTTGGCTGTTTGCTCTTCTCTGCAAGGGGTCACCAAGATCACAGGTTCTGCAGCCACCAGCCTGCCCAGAGCTGGGATATTTGGTCAGGGGCTCTTGAGTGACATTGCTCGGCTGTGGGCCTGGAGGTATCACTGGGAAGAAACTATCATCGAGTCAATTCCAAGTCATGGCAAACCTACAGGATAGGGTAGAGCTACCCCATGGGTTTCCAAGTCTGTAACTCTTTACGGGAACAGAAAGCCTAGTTTGTTTGTTTGTGTTCCCATAGACAGGCTGGAGGTTTCGAATTGCTGACCTGGAGGTAGCCCAACACATAACCACTACACCAAAACCAAACTCACCAACCACTGTGACTCACAGGAACCTTAGCTGGGGGCCTGGAGGCGTCCCTGGCTCAGGCAGCCTGCCCTCAGCACTCCAGGATGACAGTTCATCCTCTCCCCAACCACCACCCGGGGCCCTGGCACAGGCAGGGGACAATCCACGGCACTACTCAATCACAAAACCAAACTCACTGCCCTGGAGTCGATTCTGACTCATAGCGCCCCTGTAGGACAGGATAACTGTAACTCTATGAGAGTAAAAAGCACGGTCTTGTTCCTTCAGACAGCCTAGTGGTTTTGAACTACTGACCTTGCAGTTAGCATCCCAACGCATAACTACTATGCAGCCCATAACTTCAGGTCTGGAGCCCGTGCTGCCAAAGATGGTCCCATCCTTGGCTTCAGTAAAATGGGCCCCAGGGGTAGCTGGGAACTTTTCAGACAGTTGGCCAGTTGTAGGCAAACTTGGAGTTATGAGGAAGCAGAGTATATGGGTAGGACTTGAGTCCCCCCCAGGCCTGGGTCAGAGGAAGAAGAATGAGGGAGTGGCAGTAGCAGTGAAGACAGCCAGAGGGCTGTGTTGGTGGGGATGGTCAAACTGGGGAGACTGAGGCAAGAGAGAAGGCTTGGGGTGTCTGACTCGTCTTAGCTGGGCCACGGTTCTGTTGGAGTAGCTGAGAGTGACTTGGGGTGCCAGCAGGCCAGTGTCCTTGGTGTGTAGCCCAAAGAGGCGTTAATGAGTCTGGGAGGACATGAGCAAGGCTTAAGGAAGCAAAATTTTCAGATCCAATTTCCTGGGAGATCAATACTCTGGCCAACTTGGCAGCTGTGTAAGCTGAGCACAGGCACTCTTCCGGGAACTGGGCAGGTGAGTGGAGGGCAGCCTGCAGTCACTGAGCCCAGAGCTGGGTACAGGGGTAGGGCCCCTGACCCAGTCAATATCTGACATCACTGAGACAGAGTCCAGCTGTGCCCAGGGAGGGGCAGCCAGACTCCTAGACAACCCCCAGAACAGGGTCATGGAGCCTCGGGCCTCCCAGAGCAGCTCTCCAGTCTCTTGGCAACCCTAGTGAGGTCAGAGGTCACCCCAGGAGTACCAAGGCCCTAGCCTCCCGCCCCCCAAACCACACCGCCTGTGTTCAACCCACAACCCCAACCACTGACACGATGATGGGAATAGCACCTCCCAGGGTTGGGAATCATGAAGCCCCTGGCACCCTTCGATCCGCATCTTTCCCTAGGTTTATGAGGGGACATTTCCACTCTCAGCAGCTGCTGTAGAGCCAGCCCTGGGCTCATGTCTGTAAGTGGCAACACCCATACACCCTCCCCGACCTCTTCCTGAGCACAAACCCCTGGCTTGGGGCAGGCCTCTCCCAGAAAGTGAAATGAACAGATGAAGCAGCTGGCCGAGAGGGCAGGATGCCCGGCAGGGTGGGTCAGTGCTGGGCCATCAGTGAACAAAGTTGGTGAGTAGGAACAGAGAGACTGCTCATACAGCACCGTCTGGTGACAACTGGTGAGGACAGCTTCTGTGGCCAGCAGAGGTCCCCACTGAGAGCTCCGGGTCCTAACTCTGGAGTCAGCTCAGTGGGGACCTACAGAGTAGAACTAGAAACCCCAACCACACAGCAAACATGTCACATTCCATCCAGACTGGGGGCTTCCCGTTTGCCCCCAACCTGCAGACTGCTCAATCCCCAAGTGGTTCTCAACCTTCCTAATGCCTCCACCCTTTCATACAGTTCCTCATGTTGCGGTGACCCCCAACCAGAAACTTATTTTCGTTGCTACTTCATAACTGTAATTTTGCTACAGTTATGAATCGGGCAACCCCTGTGAAAGGGCCGCGTTTGACCCGCAAAGGGGTCGTGACCCACAGGTTGATAACCACTCCCTAGATGGATGCGTTTGTGCCCCTGGCAGCCCCCTCTGCAGAGAGATGACATTGGTCACCACCTCCCTGCTCCAACCTCTTGCCTATGTCCAAAGAACCACATTGAATGGACAGATAGACTGACAGGGCAAAGCCCGGGAGCCCACGCCTTCTGGAGGAACAGTCTGCCACGTGTGCAGGCCCTGTAGTTTGCCAGTGGTACTGGGCCACCTGGGCCTGATGTAAACAACTCTCCTGGTTTGTTCATTTCACCGAGTAAAGCAAGCCTAAACCCACCACCATGGAGTCAACCCCTGTAGGGCAGGGCAGAATTGTTACCCAGGGTTTCTGAGGCTGGAACTCTTTATGGGAGCAGAAAACCTCATCTTTCACCCACAGAATGGCTGGTGGATTCACACTGCTAACCTTGTGGTTGGTAGCCCAACATGTGACTACACTATGCCACCAGGGTTCCTCGGGCTGGGAGGCTGGTGCTCTTATTTAACCTGTTTTACAGAAGAGGAAACTGAGGCTCACACTCATTTAAGCTTGTCAGAAAGTAAACAGCTCCTTTGTAATGCTGAAAAGATGCACCTGGGACTGCTGGTAGTGACCAAACTGAGATTGAAAACGTTTAGATGGTCAGGCTGAAGTCAGGTCACTAAACCAGAGGGCAGGCAGGAGGGGAGAAGAAGAAAAGCCTCCTACTTACTTACCTATGGCGGGCACTGCGCTGCCAAGCCTCCCACTGAGGAAGAAGTTCACTGTGGGGGATACAAAGAGGGTCAGGCAGGCATTGGGGACATCCAGCCTGGGCCAGCCAGCAGCCCTAGTGAGGGCAGGGGATGCCAATCTTGAACCCAAGGCTGGTTTCACACGAGACCAATCCCAAGCCACTGAGATAGCAAGTCCTCATTCCACCTAGTCCTGCCAGCGTAGCCGTGGTGGGGGCCCCTGCGGTCCAGCGCATATGCCTGGCTGCATGGTCAGCTACATCTGCTCCCAAGGCCAGGAATACAGATTTGGTGGGGTGAAAGGGGTATGTGTGACTGTCCCCTGTCAGGCTTGGGAACCTCAGGTCTGAGCCACCCATTGATCAGGAAGGGGCCCAGGCCCTGCCTGACAGAAGGGTTCCTTCCACTTTGAAGGGTTTCTTGCTGAGAGGTTCTTGTCCACTCAGCAGCCAGGGCAGAGGGGCAGCAGTTACCACCTCGTTCTACAGAGAGGGAACTGGATGCCCTGAGAGGCTGTGGCACATAGGGACAGTGCCCTGGGCCCCCGCTTAGGGTCCTCCTCAGTGTGTCATGCTGACCTCAAGGCCCACCTCCACAGGATATGACCTCTGCCCTCACTGATTGCTCTCCTGTGGGTATCCAGGACCAAGCTCCTCAGAATGAGGAGAGGGGTAGGTGGAGAGACACAAACCCAGCTTCCTGGGGTTCGAGACACCCCAGATGTCAATGGAAGCATGGAGCCTCTTGGAGGGATCAGCACCTCGGCACTGCCCTTTCTCATGACACCTATGTACCCTGAGGGCCTGTAGAAGCTGTGAGCCTGTCTCCCTGCCTGTCTCCCCAGGGAGGCCAGCACATAGACATTCTGAGTCCAGAACAAAGAGCCAGGACCAGATTGGGACTCCCACCACCTTACATAGGGTTCACCCTGCTGGGACGGGGCAGGGACCTTCCCTCAATCCAGGGTTTCTTGGGGGAAGGACAGGTGTGTTCACTAGTTTGGCAGGCCAGTAGCTCCCTCATCAGTGTCACCATAGGGCCACTCTCCCCTAATTACCCTCAGCGCAGGGAAAGGCCTCCTTCTAGTAAATAAAGGAGTCATGTGGGATGAGGGTTTAACCCCTCCCTGCCCCCCCAAGCCCTAGGCAGGCCCAGCAGGAGCCCCATGGCCAGGTGCCTGGTCCTCCAGCCGGCCCCAAACGCCCACCCTGGGCCGACCAGGCCTGGCTGGCAGGGTTTGAGAAGACACAAAAGAAAAGCAGGTGCCATTCTCCGCGGGTTGGGGTCGGGAGTGGGGGTGTCTGCTGCTGCTCCTCTGGCCCGGCACTTCGAGTCCCCTTCTCCAGGCTGGCCACTGCCCCCTCCCCTCACTCCACCTGGACCGGAAGCAGTTTGGCTAAGGATCCTCGGACCTCAGACCCTCCGGCCTCGCCTTTGTCCGCAGCTCCCGAGAGCCGGACCGTTGCCGAGCGGAGCGCAGCCTGCTCGCGGAAAGCGGCCGCCGCCCCCGCCCCTGGGCCGTGGGCTCCGACTGGCAGCCCGGCGGCTGCGGCTCCCCGGCGCTCGCGCGCCCAGGCGCGGTTGGGTTGCGGGCGGGGCCGGGCTCCGGGGCCAGGGCTGGGCCTGCAGGGCGAGGCTCCCAGGAAGGCTGGGGCGACCGGGAAGCGCAAGGCCTAGCTCCGAGGAGTCCCCGGGCGGGAGTCGTGGCGCTGCCCGCTCCGGGGAAGGAACCCGAGGGGCGGGCCCGGGCCCAGCCGGG